TCAGCTGCTGAGACTTCAGAATGTGGACAAAGTTCTTACTCAGCTGCTTGAAGACTTCAGCCTTTGACCACCTGTCTAGTATATTTAATGGGGAGTTGTCTGGCTGTGCCAATTGGAGGCTGTAACTCCAGAAGGAGTAGCATCAGCCTCTTTAACCAAGGCAATAATCTGACAATTTTTAAAACAGAAAAATCTGACCTGGACACTGAAGAACAACGGTGGTAAGCATCAGCAAAGTGTGGTCCTCCAGATGTTGTTAGAGACATCAAAGAGAAAGACAAGGAAGTGAAACCATAAGTGCTCAAGTAAGACTTCCTGGATCCCTCTGTGGCTTTTGAAACAGCATGTATATTCATTAAGAAAACTCATTGGGTGCCATTTAATGCAGCAAATATAATGCCACATGCATGTTGCCTGTTTCTCCTATGGACAACGCTTGTCCAGGATGGAGATTGACTGCTGTTGGGGCTTGTGGGGTGATCTGGAACTCCTTATACAGGCATGTTACCATCCAAATCTCTTTGTTCAGACCGTTCATATAGTATCACAGCTTTATTTCCCCCACAATATATAAGTGTACAGTGGTGCCTTGACTTACAAACTTATTTGGTTCTGGAAATCCGACCGTAACTCGAAATGGTCGTAAGCCAAAGCACCATTTCCCATAGGAATGCACTGAAATGCAATTATCCATTCTGGCTGAAGGAAAAAAATCACCAAAAAACCCACAAAACACTGCAAGACCCATCAGAAACATGATTAATCAGTTCCGCCCGAAGGGGAAAAGAAAAGAAAAGCAAACAAATCATGCAAGACCTTTCAGAAATGCAAAAAAAGCAAAGCAGAAAACAAACCAACCATGCAAGACCCATCGGAAATGGGAAAAAACCAAAGCAAAAAGCAAACAAATCCTGCAAGACCCATCGGAAATGGAAAGGAAAAAAAAACCCAAAAGCAAACAAACCCTGCAAGATCCATCACAACACAGAAACATAATCCCACCAACCATGCTGCAAAACCCACCCAGAACAGTTTTAAAAAAGTAGAAAGTAACACCTTACCTTACTGAAGCCTCCTGCAATCATACTCACTCTAACTGCTGGGGCAAAAGAGCTACAAAGAAGTAGCCTCTTTGTCTACCAACGGTTAGAAATTTGAATTCCCCGTCTTTCCCCCCTGCCTTTTTCTGTTCATAAGTGGAAGCTCCGGCCGCAAATCGAAGCAAATTTTGTGGCCAGAGCTGGTCGTAATGAGAAATGGTTGTATGTCGGGACGTTCGCAAGTCGAGGCACCAACATAATTAGTATAAACATGAAAGTATGACAACTGATGTGGATTGAAGAGCAGATTAAAATCTATGCCATGGTTTAATAAGGTGATCCTGAATATGTTTCTGTGCTTTAGCTGTATCATTATATACTGATTAGGTGGATTATAAATCTAACTACTACCATAATCCTAACAAGCTCATATTAGTAAAATGCAATGAAATATGTAATGTGTAGCCAGGTTTGATAAATCTGTGTCTACAGATAAGTATTACACTTTCCTAAATCTTTTAGGATTCTTTTTTTTCCATTAATATTAATACATTTAGATTAGCATTTCTTCTCTCCAGGCAAGCACAATGCCTGGATAGAGAGGACTTTCCATACTGCTGTTAATGGCTGCAGGATTGTGAAGCAGCTGTTTGCACAGCAATGAGCTTTTTGTTTCATTTTTTACCACTATGCCTCTCCCTCCTCCTCCGTAGGGGAAGATCAGCCAACAAAAAGGTGAGACAAAGGGCAAATGCCAATTTGTGTGTATTAAGGTTTGCCAGTTCTTCTCTAAGCCTCTGTGCTTGTTCCTTTTAATAGCAACTTGATCCACAGCCATTAGCAGGTGATAATACTTATCCTTCATGCCATGAAAACTTGATTTTTGCAGATGAAGCTACTGTTAAAAGCACAGCAGCATGCCAAGTTAACCCCCCCACCCTCGTCTGACAAGCCCATCGTATTATGCCAGTGCAAGGAGCTGAGTTCGTGCCAGTAAGCCTGAGGATGGTGTAAAACATCATACTAATGGGCAGAGAATATCTGACTCACAGAGCTAGAGCTATAATCCCAGGTTATATTTAATGCTGTAGAAACAAATATTGACATCGTCAGAACATGAGAACATAAGGGTACTAATGACCGAATAGTTGGCCTACAACTCAATGTAGCTGTTGCAATTTTAATGCTGTGTATGAAGCAGTACATGACGATTGCCTAAATTCTACTAAGTCCCATTAAGGGGAAAAGCTGAATGTATGGGTTTTAGCTTCCAACATCTGTATATTCCCTTGCCAGTATTCCCATCGCAGAGCCCCATTTCTGGAAAAAACATCAGTCGTCCAAAAGGAATCTGCTAGTGGCTGCCACTACAGCTTTGGCCCACCTGGGGCTAGCAAAATGCCTACCAGTTCATGTTCTAATGAGGCACATTGTTACCCACCGGCACAGAATCAAAACGAAAAATCACCACCACCAAAACCTGGCACTCGGAACAGCCGATTTCTTCAAACGGCTCAGCATGTCCAGAAATATGCTTGCACTCTCCAACATGGCAAGCTAAAATAGATCATGTACGAAAAGAACAAGTACCGTACAAAGTCTGTTGGCAGGCAGTAAATGCATTTGCACACATTCTGAATTCTGGTTAGCATCTGAAGCACAGGTGAGCTATATTTGGGGTGGGTGAGTATTTTAAGTAATTTAAACAGTCCCTCCTCTATCCTGAACCCAGAGCTCAAAAAAGTTTTGTTTGGACAACTCACAGGATTCCCCCTAGCAAGTGTTTTCTGAACTCTATCAGAGTCCCTTTAACGCTTCTTGTAGGCAAAAGTAAAAAAGCAAAGTGTGCTGCTTATAGTCAGAATCCCTTTAGCGCTTCTTGTAAGCAAAAGTAAAAAAGCAGTGTGCTGCTTATATACCACCCATAGTGTTTAAAACACTCCCTGGGTTGTTTACAATTTAATTGTGCAAGCTACACATTACTCCCAGTAAGTTGAGTATTCTGACCTTGGAAGGACAGAAAGCTGAGTCAGTCACAAGCTGGTTACCCAATTGTGCAAGCTACACATTACTTGAGTAGTGAAGTATTCTGACCTTGGAAGTTGAGTATTCTGACCTTGGAAGGACGGAAAGCTGAGTCAGTCACAAGCTGGTTACCCAAGAGCATAGTCTTGATTGCAGTACTGCAGTTTAACCACTGTGCCACAAAGCTTTTCTCTATACATCATAGGGTAAAGCTCAAGAAACAATGCCCAGGTCACAATGTGTTTGGTGCTCACACACCGTCCTTGCATCATCAGATAGACAGTTGGGGTACTGCTGCTGATAATCCACTGTATGTTTGTGAGTGAGTGTATATGGATCATAGGGTAAAGCTCAAGAAACAATGTCCAGGTCACAATGTGTTTGGTGCTTACACACCGTCCCTACATCATCAGATAAACAGTTGGGGTACAGCCGCTGATAATCCACTGTATGTTTGTGAGTGAGAAAAATCATAAGAGCCACACTACATCAGAACAAAGACCTAACAGAGTTGACCTGTTCTTTGTTCCCACAATAAATCCCACAGTGAATCTGTGTATGTTTCCTCATAACAGAGGAAACATCTTCAGGTTTTGTTGTCATCAGAAGATAATTAATAAAAGTTTCTTATTTCCTTTACTTGCTGGACATCATTTTGGATTCAGCAAACCATGAGTGGAAGGAAAAGGCGAATAGTTGTACCTTGCAAAGGTTTGCAAGAGTTCTCAAGCTTTTCCTTATGGAAGACATTCTGCAAGGTTGATTAACTTTTCACATGGGAGATTACTAAGAAGTGCTGGGATGCTGTGAATAGAGGGATCCGGGAAGGATTATTTCAGATTAAATACCAGGGGTTTGGATAAACACTTCATCATGCTTGGAGCAGTCCTATTAAAGCAACTTAATTAAATTAAGTTGTGTTTGTTACAGAAAAAAATACAGTGGTGCCTCGCTTAACGATTGGCCCACATTACGACGAAATCACTGTACAACGATCTTTTTGTGATCACAATTGCGATCGCAAAATGATGGTCTAAATAGGGTTTTTTCGCTTTGCGATGATCATTTCCCTGCTTCGGGAACCTATTTTTCACAAAATGATTGTTTTTAAATAGCTGATCAGCAGTTTCAAAATGGCCACCGGCTGCTTAAAATGGCTCCCCGCTGTGTTTAGGGACGGATTCCTCACTAAACAGGCAGTGAAAAAGGCCGCCGTATGGAGGATCTTTGCTGGACTGTGAGTTTTTATGCCATTGGAACGCATTGAACGGGTTTCAATGCGTTTCAGTGGGGTTTTTAATTTCATTTTATGATATTTTCGCTTAACGCCAATTTTCCTGGAACGGATTATCGTCGTTAAGCGAGGCACCACTGTACTTAGACCCAATAGCTTGTCCCAGCTTGAGTACATCCCATAAAATCAGTTGCTGAATACTGAATGAACACATAGGTAAATCCCACAGAGGGTCTGTTCTAACTAACAATTGAGGCCAAAAAGTCTTCTAGCGCTTTAATATAGTAACAATCCACCAAACCCAACAACACCTCGAGTATATTGTCCCACTGGTTGAGGTTTAACAGTTGGCAGGATGCATCTGATGCAGTGGACTCGGAGCATGCAAGCTGACATGCCATGACGAATTTGTTGTTCTCTATGATGCTACAAAACTGGGGCTTAACTCAGCCATGAGTAACTTGCCGGAGCATTTTCAGTGGGTCTGCTCTAAGTGTGGATGAGCCTAAAGCCAACCCAAAGGTGTGTTCTTGCAGTTGTGGCATCAGGAAAGAATTGGCCTGAACACACTATCCCACTGGAATGGAAGACAAAGACTCTTTGCATAAGGCAAGCAGCACATGACCCAGCTATATGTTTGTCTCACGCTAGTCAAGTCCTGCTTGGCTTCAGAAAAAGCAAGCAACCACAAAAAGGCCCACTGCACGAAGAAAACAGCCAGGTCCATTTAATGACTGTTCACTTTTTTCAGGCACAATAGCTGACTTAGGTTGCAGTGTATTTGTGATAGCCAAGGGATCCCCGAAAGGGGATTAAATAACCATAAGAGCCGTCAGAGTAAAATAACTTGACACATAATGAGCACATGTGATAAAAGGGTGGTGTTGAATACAAAGCCAATAAATAGAACATTTTTCTTGTTAACTGGAATTTAAGATGCTCTCTTCTCTTAGCTCTGAGTCTTCACAGAGTCACCTTCCTTACATAAAGAGCCGTAGGATAAGCTATTTGAATCTGGCTGTATTTTACTCCTCGTCTTCTCCCCTGTGGGATTAAAATAACAACAATACAACATAAACGCTTGGAGCAACAATGATAAATCAAATCTAACAAGTTTAATTATTTTGCTTTTAAAAGGTTTCTCACCACAAAGCTTTCTTTGTTTTGCTATGATAGACTATGGCAATGGGATGGAAATAATTCAAGATTTTTTTTTAAAAAAAGCCAACTGGAAATAGAAAAAGGAATTAAGTGAAAAGCAATTTTTATTTAAAATGAGTGGGAAAAGTATCTGATGTGGTTTTTGCTGCTCAGCTATTCAACAAAGGGATGTTTTTCAGCTGTGTGAAAAGAGATGACAGGAAAAATATTTCCAGGATTAGACTTACCAGGAATGTGCCCGTAGTCAATGTAAAAACTCGTCAAACTTTCTTTGCCTGTGTTCCTGGTCGTCACAAACACGCCAACAAACGACAGAAAACACCTGCGGGAGCATTGGTCAAGCCATGAAGTCATGCATCATCATTGATTGCAGTTTTTTTAAAAAAAAAACAGCTTGAACTTTAAAATTAAAACTCCTAAAATACCTCAGCCAAGATAGCTACTGGCCATGCAGGATGGGGGAGTTCAGGATTTGCAGTCCAAAAAAAGCCATTTCCCTCTGCTCTGTTAGTGGCAGCAGAACCACTTGATGACACATTATTATAACCTCTTCTGGTATTACCTTGATGAGAGGGAAGCCAGGCCTTTATACTAAGACCTTGAGATTGGAACCCATCGGAAGAGCAAATAACACACCTCATCTCACACGTCTTAGATCTATTTCAAGTAACAGGGGAAGGAAATATAGGGAGTCCCTTAATAAAATCTAGGTTCTTCATCTCCGTTCCCACAATCTTCCCATCAGGTTTCTAAAGCCAGTAGCCACGGCCATTTGTGGACTGAGGAGGTGCTGGTGCCTCAACAACAAAAATTGGGGGGGTGAGGCCCCCATGAACCACTTCACCCAATAGCCATTGCAGAAGGTAAGAAAGTCAAGGCCCATAATTCAAATATAAAGCTAGATCAACTTTGCACTTGGAAATTTTATTTTGCCTGCTTTGTTTATCTATTCTGGAAGCTACCTGTGAAATTCTATCGAACCCCTCCTAGCTGTGTCTTTGGGCTCTGATTCTAGGACTTGGTGTGCATGAGTTTCTGGAGGGAAAAAGGTCATAGGAGCAATGCTCTATGGTAAGGGAGCCTCTTGCAATCACAATTGTGTTACAGAGACAGTGCTTTCTCTTCTGCATTATTAATCATCTCCACATGACTCGTATTCTAAACTACTGTTTTGAATCCAATTAATAGAGGTCTCTAGCAGATCACACCTCAGGTTAAGACACCTTCTTTGGTTCTGTCCTTCCAGAACACATGGAATGATAGCCACAAAGACAAATATAAATTACCTTAATGTAGCCAAAGATTGGCTTGCACACAATGCAACACAATGTTTGAACTCTTGTGCTTCCTTAACATGGCTGTATCGGCACACATACCTCAGAACAGCCTTTTCAAAGAGTATACTCACCCAAAGACAAACATGAAATCACTCAGCAAATCTCCACCCTTGAATTCCTGATAAAATATAGCCCCTGAACAGAGGCAAAAGTTAAAAACAACACAGTTAAATTTTACAGAAATCAAGCATATTCTGTTCTTGTCAAAAAGGAAAATATTGAATTTAATCTTAATTTTGTATAAGTAAGCAGGCTTGATCTAATGATGATCTTCTGTGTAGCGAATGCGTTTCCATTAAGACCTGGACAAGCTGGTAATTTATCTTTCCTACTGCAGCTCCCTAGGTCACATTAAATGATACCTGGGGCAGTCCTCTAATGTGCAAAATGGACTTTTATCATTTAAAATGGACTTTTTTTAATGTGACAAGAATGGGTAGCCTGAGCAGCTCAGATGCATGTATAAAACACTGCATGTGATCCTCTGGATCTTGTTCATATTCGTTAGCAGGACCACATGATTATTTTTACCATATATGTACTTAGAAAAGTCACTTTTCAGGATTAGAATTTTATGCTGGCTCGAGGAGTCTATAATCTGCAATATTGCCAATCACGTAGCCCTCTCTTTGGTTAATGTGTAAGATCATTTTTGCTAGTACACATTAGCTTAAAAAACTCTTAATGGCACAGCCTGTTATTGGGCATTGCAAGAGTTATTCTTGGTAAACTGTGTTATCACATATTAGAAAACACAGATTTACAAAATCAGCACTTAAATAATGCTGATTTTTTATTCAAAGTTTTATCATCATCATCATCATCATCATCATCATCATCTATCTGTGCTTATTTAATTTAGTGCTGATTTGTAATACGTGTCAGCAATGTTCCCTTCTGTCATCTCTTGCCTGTCTGCTCACAGGGGGCAGTAAACAAGTCCCAGTCCCTAGCTGATACTGCACGACACTGATTGAGCTCTGCATGTATGCACACCTTAGAGGAAACACTGACATAATGCAAATGGAAGAAAATTCTTAAAAATGCAAAAGATTGCCGAAATATTTTTATTCATCAATGGCACCAACAAAAGGAAGAGTTTCAGGTAATGAATCGATCTTTTAATCAAGGAACTATTACATTAAAATAATGTTGCGTAATGCTACCACACCAGTGTTAATGCCTTTTGGGGGGCAATCAAAAAAAATTTCTCCCATGGGCAAGAAAACATCCAAGTGAAATTGGATCTACCATTCATTTTCAGAAGGATACCACCTTTCTAATATTTTTCCATCCCTTTGTTCACTTTATGACTTTTGATTTGCGCCCCTAATGTACTGATGTTGTTATTTGCTATTTTGCTGCTTTGTTGTTTTGTGTTACTTGTTCTAAACCGCCCAGAGTGGCCTTGGCTGCGAGATGGGCAGTATATAAATCAAATAAATAAATAAATGGAGGGAGAGAAGAACACATCTTGTTCCAGCAATATTTCCAGCGATCACAGGTGCTTAAAAAAATACATTCAAATCCCACCAGTATGGTGAAATAACCTAAATCAAAAGGCTTATTAATAATTAACTTTTATTTGCTTTGGTTAGAGGAGTCTGGTTTGCTAAAAGAAAAATCATAATCATTTGATTCTCTGATGCAGAGATGGGGAGTCGGTGACCCTCCAGATTTAGTGGAATTCTGCAATCCCCTTGGCCAAGTTGGCTTGGGCTAATGGGATCTGCTGCTGCTGTTTCTCTATTATGCTATTTACAATCTTTTTGGTAAGAGATGCCAGCGACTCAGTCTGGGCATTTTTCATGCAGAGCAAAATGTGCTTTGCTCGTGGAACATGAACCTTGGCAGAGGAGACCAAAATGCCATTGCAGGAAAATGCCTAACCATTTCAACTAGAAATTGTTTCATATACAAATACTCCCCCCCACACAAGGCAATAACAAGGGTCCGGCCCCCTGGAGCCAGACCGTCCACTCACAATTCCACCGTTGCCACCGGCTCCGCAATCCTTCCTATCACTCTGGAGCTCATGATTGGCCAGCTGCTCTTCGACCTGGCTGGGAGGCTTGTCGTCCCGCCTCCTGCCAGGGGTGGTGAGCCAATCGCGAGCTCCGGAGTGATGGGAAGGATCGCAGAGCCGGCGGCAATGGCAGAATTGTGAGTGGACGGTCTGGCCCCAGGGGGCCGGACCCTTGTTATCACCACCTGTGCGGGGATATTCGTATACGAATACGAAGATCCCCATCTCTAGTTTCAACCCGCTGAATGGAAATACATGTTGACTTACAATTTAAACTTTAATAAAACCTAATGATCCCTTAGAGTAATAAAAACAACATTCCCCATTTGGCACCTTCCAGTAGTGTGGGGCAGCAATACCATCATCCTTATACTCAGTATCACATCTGTTGCATATCATATTGGGAAATAGGAGACTGAAGGTTGAAATACTAATGGCCATGCCAAATGTTATGCTAATTAGTCACCTAGTCTTTAAAAATAACTGAACTTCAGGGCTAGCAGAATCTTAAGTGACCCTAATGCTGGAATATATGTACCACTAAGCTGGCTGGCTGGCTCAGTGATTTTAGATACAGTACTGTAGTTGGCTGCGGTCACAGAGGCTGGGACTTGGATTCCCTATTGTGCCTCCTGCAACTAGAGCCAGCCTGTGTGGCCTTGGTCAAGCTGCACAGTCTCAGATGTGCTCCCAGAAGAAGGGCATAGGAAATCACTTCTGAGTATTCTCTACTTGGAAAACCTTGAAAAGGGTTGCCATAAGTAAGTCGCAATTGACTTGATGGCACATTATTATAATCCTTAGTAACTATGGTTTAAGAGGACATGCCTGTTTCTGTTGCTTAGGGCTTGTAAGACTGTTTTACTAAGTGCCTAATAATTGCCTGGAGCTGGCACACACGTATGCCAACCGACTGGGAACACTTCCTAACACTAATTGATTTGCAGAGGAGCACTTTCTGTGGCCAGTAATTAAGAATAATAACTGTTTCGCATTAACAAACCTGGCATGTATGGGACGATGGTTAGGTTCCTTCATTTTAGTTTTTAATGGGATGTTATTCAGGTCAAATTTAGTATGAGTAAGGATATTTAGGAGTTGGCCCAGAAGCACATAGAATCAAATTCTCCATTTGGTTACATCATTACAGCTGTTTCAGGTCAATCTTTCCTCTGGATCATACAGCACAGGCTTATTTTAACACAGCTGCTGAACCAATCCATATTTTTTAAAGCTTTGGTGAGCTTTGAATAAGTAATTGACATAAACTAATGGAATTTCTGTATGCAGATCTCTTGAAAACCAATGATGGAGCAGCCCCCCTGAGTGTGTTAAAGGGGTCATAAAAGTTATAGGAACAATAACTTTTGGGCTCACTGCAAAATGCAGCATATTGGTCCCACTTTGCTCGCTTGTTCCTACCACAGCCTACAGTTTGAGGGAATTGGAGTCTCTTTTCAATCATATCCAGTTCAAAAGTTCTCACCCAGGATAAAATCTTAATAGCTTAAAATGGGCTTTGGATTCATTCTAATTCCTTCTCTTTAGCCTTGTGCATACGGCCCGCTGAAACAGAATATACACCGACTGCTACAGAGTACAGCTGGTTGTTATCTTAGGGGCTTGCTTCGTCATTACTGAAATGACTTTAACAGGTACAAGAACTAGAAGCAAACCTACACATGGGAAAGCTATTCCTTGTATGTCACTGCAGATACCTGTAATAAACTCATATAACAGGATAGATGGGCAATATAAACACTGGGAAAACTACATATTGATGACATTGGATTTTTGTCCTTTCTGAATTAAGAGCCATATTCAAAATATATTTCTTGGTGCTGGCCATCGTTCAGGCACAGATGAACACTTGTAAATCCCATAGATTTCAATGGCAGAGTTGAGCATATACGTTCCCCCTTCTAAAACTGCAATCCATGGGACTTTAAAAAGCTTAACTTTTGACTCGCATCATGTTCAACCTATCTTACATGAGGGAAATGTTCTTCACTCTGACAAGCAGTATATATTTTGAAGGGGGTCCTTTCAGAGGGGTGCAATGAACTTCTGTGCAAGCAACACACAGACTTCCCATCACCACAACACACCAGGGTTTTAGTTAATACAAGGATGCCCCAATTACAGGAGCCAAGACATAGAGAAGTTTTGCATCCATCATGACACTGTTCTTCATTTCCTTAAGGCAGCCATTTATCAGTAGGGTCAGGAAACCAAGGGTCCTTAGGCCCAGCTATTACAGAGAGAGGCAGCAAAGAAAATGTCGTACATTTTTTGGCCACTCCTCTGTACAATGCCTTGGTGCCAGAGATGCAAGAGGACAACTTAGGGAATGGAAGCACTCTAACCAACCACATCATCCTCCCACCAGCCTTCTGTTCATGGTTGTTTTCCTGGATATTGTGAGGGGTTGATGTGGCACATTGCACCTGCTCCTGCCACAAAGGGTTTGGTGCTGGCACTGGGATATTGTTTCAATGGCAACTTGATCTGCCACCTACCTTTCTCTTGCTGGTTTTATATTAATTACTACGCACTCACTTTCCCCCATTGAAGTGAATGGGAGCAAATATGAACCAAGCCAATTCTTCCTGACAATATGCTATTCACATCATAATTCCTTGGAAAAGTTAAGAGCAGGGATGAAGCTTGAAAAAATTACTTTCCCTCACCCCCCAATACCCATAATTCCTCAGATTGTATGGGCAGTGGGAGCGTCATCCAAAATGGCAGCATTTCCAAGCTCTGATAATGGCTGGGAGCATTCTGATAAGAGAGAGGCTCTCCATATGCGGATGAACTATTCCTCATCTCTTGCCCAAACGGACAAGAGCTGTTGAAAATTCAGTCTTCAACTAGTTTTCCTCTCGGTACTCCAGCCCTGACCCAGGGTGTGAAAAAGAGGTAAAAACCAGGAGCCTATATATCTATATAAGGCTGCATAAGCACATAAAAGCTCCAAGAGCAAAAGGCAACACTCTTAAATTCACTTCAAATTCAAAGGGGAGGGGAACAGTTCTGAAGCATTAAGCGGGGTGTGTGTGTGTGGACTCAAAGGCCTTATAGGTCCCTTCCAACTTCATTACTCTATAATTTTATGAAGCATCCACTAACCTGCCAAGATAGCACTAATGGTAAAGAACGCATAGTTCAATGGGATAACTTCTGTTACATCATGGAGCTTCATTGCTTGGTCCAGGAACCTGGGGAAAGAAAGTCAATGCATTTTTACAGTCAAGTCAGTAAGAGCGGATATCCCAAGGCAGACTTTCCTGACGTGACGTCCTCCAGGTACATTTAACTACAACTCCCACAATTCCCCCACCCAGCTGTCAAAAGTGTCTATACCACACAAGAGAAGGTTGGCTAAGGCAACTATGATTTCAGTGGGAACTTCGGGATTTATCTTTTGTCATTCCAAGAGTCCAAATAGACACAATCCATATTCTGACGGCAACTTATTCTGAACTACGAATGGTCAGTTACAAAAACTGAGAAGATGAATCTTTAGCATCAGCATCATCCTTGAAGGAAGATCCTAATATTTGTTCGTAGGCATGCATATATGAAACAATTTCCTAATCTTTTCATTTCACGTGGAACTAGTTCCCTCCACAGAGAAATACAATACAATCCTATATTCCATAGTAAGCCCTACTACATTCAGTGAGCTGTAGAGCTACACCCTTTTAAAAAACATGAGGGAAGAAGCTTCAAAATCTGCAGCTGATTTCACAAGTCCAAAGAAACATTGTAAATAAAGAACTAATTGTGATTATATTAGGAGGAACCCATAATGAAATTGCCCATCACTGGAAGGATGTTCAGGACTTGTCCTTGCAAAGATTTAAAAATAGAAAAAAGCCTAGGGAAAGGGAGAAATTTATGAGAGTCATCCGGATCACTAAAAAATTCCTTGTACTTAAATTCAAGGCTAGTATCACCAGGACCGAAGTGTGCATTAAAATCTTCTAGAAGTATCACTTTTGTTTTTGGGTGATCTACTACAGTAATAGATTTGTTATATATGTCTCTAGAGAATTCCAGGCTTCGGTTATTTGTTGTTTTAATGTGAGTGGGGGAATATATACATTAAAATTAAACCATCTTCCCGACTTTTCAGGACTACTGCCATAGCCCTTGAGCCCATAGGAGGTTTCTCTATGCATTTAAAATTTAGAGTATCTGAAATTAAAAGTGCCAACCCACCTTCCATCCTTCCTAGGCCCTCTCCCCTTCTGGTTTTCACCCAATAATTATTGTATCCTTGCAGGATGATTTCTTGGTCAGTCCAAGTCTCTTGAACTGCTATAATATCAAATTTCTGGCGGTGGAAGGGATTGTCATGGGAATTTGTTAAACAGCGAAACCACCCTGCAACATTCCATGAGAGTATTTTGTATGAAGAAATTAATATTTGTCATTCCATTTTATCAATATTATCCAAGATTTTATCGCCATCGTTGAATACACATCCATTGCAATTAAAGGAGGCTCTGTTTTTTGATGCCGAAGGTGGTAAAGGAGGTATCACTGGCTGTTTGCCCATATGACTCTTGATTTGTAGCTCCTAGGACAAATGTCGATGGTATAATCAGTGGGGTCCTACCCTCCTTTACATTTGGCAGCTCCAACCCCATGGGGTGCCATTTACTAACATGGAGGACTCTCCCCCCCCCCCCCCCTGCTAACCGGAAGCGTGCCCCCAAACATTGAGGGCGGTCCTGTGTGTTACCCTCTGGTGGATTAACAGGCCTTACTAAGTTCTGGAGTCGAAGGCGCAGTTCTTTTAACCTGGTCAGCATCTCTGATTGTGCTTCCTTTGATTGGCCCGGGAAAGCTGCCGATGTCCCTAGCTCCACCGGATCTATCGTATGGCTGTCCTCATTGGATCTGTCCACGTGATTAGTTCAGTTTCCAGGACTGACTCTGTCCTTGGTTTCGGTGTTGGCACTGCTATTCTTGCCGGCTCTATATCAGGAGATGTGTGTGTGGGGGGGTTGGGAGGAGGGGATAGATCTTGGGGCGGTGAAACACTCTAGTTGGAAATATTCCAAATTTCGGCTGTGAAACACTCTAGTTGGAAATATTATTTCTTTAATAAGAATCTCTTCCTCAGTATCAAAGATGGAGTTTTTTTGGTTTGGAACAGTAACACTACTTTTTGTATCTGATTAGATTTGTTTAAGGTTTCAACTGAAATTAGGTCATCTAATAAGAGAGGAGTCTTCAGGAGAAAGTTTAGATGTCTTGCTACTTGGTTCTTAGTAGACCAGTTTATTTCTTTTCCTTTATAAGGGCAAACCATTAGGCAGATTTTCCGGGGTTGCAGAGAGAGAGCAAATGCCTTAAAATCCTCCCCTGTTTTCTTCGCCCAGACTGTCGAAAGTTGGGGGAGGTTTTTGTTATGGATGTCTTATTCTTACTCCGCACCACTTATGGTGTTTTTCCAAGTAGGTCTACATTGTTATTTACAGGAACTATATTTTTATTTTACAGGAACTAAACAATTTAGCTTGGAGCATCAAGAATTATGCTAACGTGGTATAACATTTAGAGTGTCGACTTGGAAACAGAGAGGCCCAGACTCAGATATAAAGCTCTTCAGTGACCTTGGTCTCTTTACATTCTCTGAGAGTTGCAGCAAGAATAAAATGAATGTGGGGGAGCCATGTACACTTTCTCCATCTCCTTTGAGATAGGGTAGGAAATAAAAATGGGTGGCCCACAGTCCAAGCAAGAAATGTACCTCAGCCCACAGGGTTGAGGTATAGCAATGGGAAGCCTGTGATATGAACAAAATACAGTATATCACAGAAGTATACCCCCCTCACATTTCATAAATATTTTAGTATATCTTTTCATGTGACAACACTGAAGAAATGACACTTGGCTACAATGTAAAGCAGTGAGTATACAGCTTGTAGAACAGTGTAAATGTGCTGTCCCCTAAAAGTAACGCAACACACAACCGTTAATGTCTAAACCGCTGGCAACAAAAGTGAGTACACCCCTAAGTGAGAATGTCCAAACTGGGCCCAAGCAACCATTTTCCCTCCCTGGTGTCATGAGACCCGTTAGTGTCACAAGTCTTAGGTGAGAAGCGGGAGCAGGTGTTATTGCTCTCACTCTCTCAGACTGGTCGCTGGAAGTTCCATATGGCACCTCATGGTAGTGAACTATCTGAGGATCTGAAAAAATGAATTGTTGCTCTACATAAAGATGGCCTAAGCCAGTGATGGTGAATCTATGGCACGAATGCCACAGCTGGCAATGGTGAATCTACTGTATGGCATGAATGCCACAGCTGGCACACAGAGCCCTTTCTGCGGGGACGCGAGCCATAAGTTGCCAGATCACTCCCCCCTGCGGCCAAACCTGTGGAGGCAGCTGCGGTGCTGAGGGACGCGAGCCATAAGTTGCCAGATCATTCCCCCCTGCAGCCAAACCTGTGGAGGCAGCTGCGGTGCTGGCGCTTCGACAGGCGGCGGGCCAAGATCCAGAGCAGCTGGCGCTAGTGGCGGATCTGGATCCGACAGGCGGCGGACCAAGATCCGGAGCAGCTGGCGCTAGTGGCGGATCTGGAGTGGGGTCTCAAGGCACCTTCATGCCCAGGATTCCCTCTTCCAATGCCACTTCCGGTTCCGCCACCACCGCGGTCTGCGGTTTTTCAGTTTGGGCACTTGGGCCCAAAAAGGTTCACCGTCCTAGGCTATAAGAAGATTGCCCAAACCCTAAAACTGAGCTGCAGCACGGTAGCCAAGACCACACAGTGGTCTGACAGAACAGGTTCCAATCAGAACAGAACAGACCTCAGCATGGTTGACTAAAGACGCTGAATCCCTGTGCTCTGCATCATATCCAGAGCTTCGATTTAAGAAATAGACATATGAGTGCTGCCAGCATTGCTGCAGAGGTTGAAGGAATGAGGGGGGGTCATCCTGTCAGTGCTCAGACCATACGCCGCACACTGCATCAAATTGGTCTCCAGGGCTGTCATCCCAGAAGGAAGCCTCTTCTAAAGATGATGCACAAGAAAGCCCACATACAGTTTGCTGCAGACAAGCAGACTAAGGACATGGATTTCTGGAACCATATCCTATGGTCCGATGAGACCAAGATAACTATTTGGGTCAGATGGCATCAAGTGTGTGTGGTGACAACCAGGTGAGGAGTACAAAGACAAGTGTGTCATGCCTACAGTCAAGCATGGAGGTGAAAGTGTCATGGTCTGGGGCTGCATGAGTACTGCCGGCACTGGGGAGCTACAGTTCATTGAGGGAACCATGAATGCCAACATGTACTGTGACATACTGAAGCAGAGCATGATCCCCTCCGGAGACTGGGCCGCAAGGAGGTATTCCAACATGATAACAACCCCAAACACACCTCCAAAATGAGTACTGCCTTGCTAAAGAAGCTGAGGGTAAGGGTGATGGACTGGCCAAGCAGGTCTCCAGACCTAAACCCTATTGAGCATCTGTGAGGTATCCTGAAATGGATGGAGATGCGGAAGGTCTCTAACATCCATCATCTCTTGTGATGCCATAATGGAGGAGAGGAAGAGGACTCCAGTGGCAACCTGTGAAGCTCTATGCTCAAGAGCATTTAGCAGTGCTGGAAAATAATGGCGGCCACACATCAAGAGCGTTTAGCAGTGCTGGAAAATAATGGCGGCCACACAAAATATTGACACTTACAGTCAATTTGGACATTGTCACTTGGTGTGTACTCACTTTTGTTGCCAGCGTTTTAGACATTAATGGCTGCATATGGTGTTATTTTGAGGGAACAGCTCATTTACACTGTTATACAAGCTGTATATGGTGTTATTTTGAGGGGACAGCACATTTACACTGTTATACAAGCTGTATACTCACTGCTTTACATTGTAGCCAAGTAATATATCACATGAAAATATATACTGTACTAAGATATTTATGAAATGTGAGGGGGTGTACTCACTTCTGTGATATACTGTACATACTCTTGTCTGGCACATCAATTAAATCTGGATCCCAGCAGGTATGTCTTCAGTCCTAACACAATTTAAAATATTGCCAGTAATTAATAAAGGCAGAATACTACAAAGGGACACATTTGTGAAAGAAAAAGATATAAATACAGTCATTGAAACTTGCAATATTTTATCCTATACAGAAAATCAATAGATTCCTAAAAACTGTGGCACCAGGTTGAAGAACCAGTTCAGATGCAGAGACTAAGGAACTTCCTGGCTCAAACATCATCACTACCACAGACTCACATGGTCAAGCCATTCTCTTAAACTCGCACACAAATTTGCAGAAAGAATCTACTGTACGAACCCTGGAGAACTCATAGCTAACAAATAGCCACTTACAGCATAATTTTTTTAAAAAAACATAGCCAGCTTAAAAACAAAATAGATCACAGCATTTTAAAAGTGTTCAACAGATTACCACATTCAACCAAATACTAAATTAATAGTTTAAACCACCTTGGTCACTTTTTGAAGATGGAGCATAAATATTTTAAACAAATAAAAACGACTTAAAGACTTTTCAAAACGACAAGAACAACAGCCGCCGCATTAAAAGGTCTTTCTTCATCAGTTGATTGGCGGCCAATGGCTTATCTAATTAAAATATGTATTTAATTGATGGGAGAAGGAACCCAGGCCTCCCTTGGAACAGGCAGGGAGCAACTGCTGAGAAAGTGGTGAGACAGAAGGAAAGGTCTCTCCTGATGTTCTCAAGACCTGGGCAATGTCATAAAGGGGAGCTATGATCACTCACATACTCTACTATGGAAAATGATCTGACTCTATACAGGTCTGTTTCCTAAGTTCTCATGATAATAAATCTAGCCTGTGTTACAAGGCTGTCATAATTTATCGGTCAGGCACTTCAAACGCTAGAGCGCTATATTATTTTATTATTTATTTGGATACATGTGTCCTTGATTTCAAAACATGATCAGACTCCGCATGTTTGCTGAGTTTTCATGGTTACCATGGCTTCCAAACACTTCACGCTTATGGAGTGAAGAAAAAAAGAGAGATCAAATTGGAAAGAAAAACTGGTGGAGAAGAATCTACATACAGAAACTTTGAAGTCTCATGTAGAAAATGGCGTACATCCTTTAAATAGAAAAACACTCCACATGGCCTAAGGCTACATCAAAGTCCAGCTTCTTATCTGTTTTAGACATTAGGAGTGATTATATAGTTATTTTAGCCACTGCTGAGCAATCTCCATGGAACTTTAAAAATAAAATAAAATAAAATTCCTACATATTTATAGGATAGTCAGAATTTCAAAGGCACTGCAAACACCTCATTACTTTTGCCTGTTTGTCCCAATGTTGGTGTGAAGAAATTCACCAGAAATGAATTAAGATTTTGCAAAAAAAGGGGGGGCTGTTCAAACGAGTTACTGAAATGAAGTTCAAGTTTAGATTTGCTAACTTGTCTTTTAAAGCAGGGGCAAGATATCAACTGGAAGTGTGATATGCAAAGTCCATGGTTTAAATCTTATTTCAGTCGAGTGCACACAGGAGGCTCTTAAGAAAACCATGATTAAGCAAATGGAAACTTTAGCCATAACTTGTTGGGGTTTTTTTTTAGCCATTTGTATGCCGCCCTGGGGCCTGTTTGCCACCATTGCCAGCCATAATCTCTTGGAGGCCCAAAGGCAAGACATAAGGGGAACTGCTGCTTTTCTTCTTATTATTATTATTTTTAAAAATGTTTCACTCATTTTGCCTCTTCTGGGTAATGGCTGAGTAGAAACCCTGTTTCAAATAATTTCTCAGTTTGCTCTTGGGTCTGTTGTCTGTTTTGGACTGCTGTCTATTTTTGGGATAAAGATGAAGAGCTAGCAAGTTCCTCCAACAAGCCCTGGATTCTCGGGCAAAAGCAATCCCAGCAAACGGTTTCTGTAAAATGAAGTTAGTTGGCGAGACCAGCAATAGTGGATCCAAAGAATATGAAGAGTATGACAGGCATAACAAGAATCAACTGGAGCAAGAGACAGAGGGCCGGACTACCGAACACATTGATGTAATCAGAAGGCAAAAGCAAGTTTTAATTCCAGCAATACAGTTTTCTTCAGAGCTTCATGCTGAGCAATCAGATTAACAAATGAAGCCTTATTTACCTCCCAAGAACCAATCTGCAAACCAATCACCAGCAATTTTTAAAATGTAGCCGTGAGGAAAGCTCATGCTAGGACAATTAGACCTCTTTCATTACTTCAAAGAGTAAGGCAGCATAACTTCTAAATATGGTAATGATAATCTTAGCTAGTTTGACCCTGACTGGCACAAAGGCACTGGAGTGACACTGGGCAGTGGAGTCCGAGTTCCTTCACAAACGGGGAAAAAATGGCTTGACTGGGGCAGAAACCAGTCTTAGACAAAAGAGAAAATACAAAAGAAGAAATGTTAACATCTCAATAGGCTCTATAGGGCAGGTTCTTCTCTCCAAATCCAATCAAGACAGGATCTTCCTTGCAGCATCATTCTTAAGGAGTGCAGGGTCTTTGCTTATCATATAAGTGTTTAAGGATGCAACTCTTTGGCCCATGTACACATGCCTATTTTCTAACTGATGAACCTTAACAGGAAAATAGTGAATAATTATCAAAACCGGGGGGGAAATGAATACTGCTAATGAATTACTATTTTAAAAAAAACAGCATTCCATGCTCTGCAATCTTACAAGAAAGACACAGTTTAAAGGTGGGACATATCTCAGGCTTTATAGTTTGCTATCAGAGCACACAGGCTATTGCCAGGAAAGGACTGGAGTAAACTAGACAAAGAACTGCCCTTAAAAGCCAGTTTCCTTCTGTACTCTCCAGCTCAGTTTCAGGACCTATTGGCCAATGTCCTACTGAGTGGAAAGTCCCACAACACAGTAACATGACTGTGCTGTTTGCGCAGGCACTATCCTTGTGAAAACTATGCTCTCCATGAAGAAACCTGCCCTCCACTTGAACAATGGCACTGCTTCCACTAGTAGTGCAATACTACATTATTACACTAATATGACTTTCCAATCAGTTGAAGTGCAATAGGAGACTGGGCGTTATAATTTCCAAACATCAAAGTCAGGTTAATCAGTCAGAAGAGAATCCTAGTTTGAAAAAGAATGCTTTCCTCACAACCTGGTACCCTTCAGATGTGTTGGACTGATCAATGTGGCTGGGGATTCAACTCAAATAGATGACGTTGACTCCTAAGAAGCTGGGCTGAGGCTGAAGGCCAGGTATGTTTGCATGGAGAATTTGCTGAGTATTTTTTTCCTGGGTTTTCTTTTTGTCTCCCCCACCGCATGGCCTGGGGGTGGGGCCTAGGGGTGGGACTTTCTGCTTTAAAAGAGCGTGTCCCAGGATCCTGGGTCTTTTTCCCTTGGAAGCTGGGCTGAGGCTGAAGGCCAGGTATGTCTGCATGGAGAATTTGCTGAGTATTTTTTCCCTGGGTTTTCTTTTTGTCTCCCCCACCGCATGGCCTGGGGGTGGGGCCTAGGGG